CCTATAAAAGGAAGATTTGATATTGGTCTATAGTTGCTCAATATAGTGCTATCAAGATTGTTCTTTTTCAAAAGGGGCTTAACAACTGCAGTTTTCAGGGATTTTGGAAACGTCCCAGAAAGAAGTGAGGCGTTCACTTGCACCACTTCTAAGAGATCTGCTTCTAAACAGTTAAGCACATTTTTGAAAAAAGATGTGGGAAGTGTGTCAAGGTAACAGGTTGACGATTTAAGGTGCTGTACTATTTCTTCCAAAACTTTGCAATCAATTGCTTCAAAAACAGACATGGTAACTTTTTCTTGAAATTGCGGTCAAATCTGTCTGACCTCTGCATAACTTGAGGATGTGCTAATCGCCTTCCTGATATTATTGATTTTCTCAGAAAAGAAGAAAGCAAACTCATTGCATTTGCTGTCGGAGAGCATTTCACTGGCAATCTGACTTGGGGGATTTGTCAGTCTCTCAACAGTAGCAAAAAGAGTGTGAGTGTTTAAGTTACTTTTTATAAGGTTTGAGAAGAAGGTCTGTCTAGCTGTGGCTAGTTCCACATTGAAAGCATGAAGGCTGTCTTTATAGATGCTATAGTGAATTTCAAGTTTCGTCTTCCACCATATCCGCTCAGCTTTTCTGCATTGTCTTTTCATACTCTGTACTGCTGTTGATTTTTGTCTGCCAGTCTTCTTATTGACTTTTACAGGAGCAATATCATCAATAACATTCTTAACTTTTGAGTTAAAGGAGAAGATCAACAGTCTGCAGAAATGCTTGGTGTTAAAGATATAGCCTCCATAAATAGCACACTAGTGTTTTCGTTAATGCATCTCTTTCTGACAGAGACAGATCTAGATTCAGTGATAGCAGAGATCAATACAAAGAAAATACAGAAGTGATCAGATAGTGCTACGTCCTTAATAACAATGGATGAAATGTTTAGACCTCTACTGATGATTAAATCTAGAGTGTGTCCACAATTGTGTTTGGGTTCATGCACATGCTGAATCAGGTCAAAAGTGTTTAAAATAGTTATAATTTAATTTGAAGTTTTGATTTCTGCATTATCTATGTGAATATTAAAATCCCCTGCCATAGCAAAACAGTCAAACTCTGAGGAAGTCATTGATAACAGTTCTGTGAACTCTTCAACAAAGGCTAAAGAGTATTTTGGAGGCCTGTAAATAATGATAAACAGAATGTATGGAGCAACTTTGAGCACAATACCTAGATATTCAAAAGACACGTAAACGACAAATGACACTTGCTTGCATTGATAGACATCTTTAAATAGAGCAGCTACACCTCCACCTCTCCTAACAGTCCTGCAGACACTTATCAAATTAAAGTTAGGAGGGGCTGTTTCATTGAGGACTGTTGCACTTCTAGCCATGTTTCGTTTAGAAACATAAAATCCAGGTTGTTTGTGGTTATTAAGTAATTGATCAGAAATTATTTATTTTTTAGTGAGCGAATGTTTAAAAATGCTAACTTGATGGCATAACTTTGTGTCTCAGCTATCTTAGTTTGATGCATATTAGGCCACAGATTAGATGCATCAGCCGTACGGCTTGAGAAGGCCTTAGACTTTCTATCACGTGATAAAACAGAAATAGAGATCAATATTCAATACAATATACAAATCAATACCTTTATTATTGCAGTGTTTGCATTTCAATGGTTATGTACATGTTTAAAATCTGAAAGCTTAGCTGTTTCAGATTTTCCACTTCTATTTCCATTTTGACTGATTTGCATGTTTTTCAGTGCCTGTTCTTTGGACAAATTCTAAAATCTAAAAATGTTTAGCTTGACTATGGGATGGGAAAGCAGCTGTTGTTGACACACTGTTGAACAGAAAAAGTATTGAATTGAGTATTGAAAAGTAACTGAATTTGCTGAATAATTTCTGAAATAGTACACAACGCTATTTAATTAAAAAGAAGTTATTAGCACAATGTATTTATTATTATTTCCTTTGGCAAGACATTATTACTCTCCTTAAATGCAAAGTGGCGAAATTCCTTAAATCCATGTTCTCCCCAAAAACTTAACTTTGAATAACATTTTTTTTATTAATACTTGAGAAAAATTGGAATGGAAAGAAATCTTTTTCTGTAGAGTGTCAGTTACTCACTTTCATGTCATTCCAAACTTGTATGACTTATAAGTCAATTGTAACCAAAACTGTCATTCTTCAAAATATATTTTTTGTGTTCCGCAAAAGAAAGAAAGTCATTTTGGGTTTGTAACAACATGAGGGTGAGTAAATGATGACATAATTTAACTTTTTTTCACATTTATTCTAGTGTAGATCATATCACCGTATGTTTTATATTGTTTAGTAATCCTTTCATTCTTTCTTCTAGGAAGCACCATTTGTGTGGAAGGGAACCGGAGCTCGTATCAATGGTGCCAGTAGTCCTGGACCACCTCCCATAGCAGAAGAAACTTCCAGTGGCGAGTGATGGATAGATGGCCCAACTGGAATCCTTCATGGGGATGCTCACACCTTCTGTTTCTGAGGACATGGGCAGGGAAGACAGCGCCCCAGACAGTATGGGAGTAAACACATGCTTGAATTGAAATACAAATGGAAATGGATGCAGAACTGTGCATGCAGAAAGCAAAAGAATTGTGCTTATTATCAGATTTCCTGTCAGTGAGGAGGACAAATATGATGTTATTTGACTGGTTATGACTGAGTTTTCCATTCTAGCCAAGTTATCAGACAACAAACCACTAAATAACATTGCCACGGCTGATATTACAACACACCTGACTATCCAAATAGCTGATGTTAATTGTTCTCCTATGCTAAATTACATTTTACGTTAAACTTACATCTATCGTTATATTCATTCGTTTTTAATTTGGAGACAAAAAAATCTGACATTTATACATTAAGGCATTTCTGTTTCATATTTTACTATAAATTTATCAATACATATCACAATATATTAATACACTGCACATGTAACAGTTTCAAGTAAGAGTTGTACAAATATTACCGATAGTTAAATGGCCTGAATATCAGCCTCAGCTGTATTAGGTTTTATGTTTTTGTATTCAAATTGGGTAGTTCAGTGACTTATCTTGTTCATTTGAAATCTCGGTCAAGTCAAGGATTGTCTGTATCTCTATATATTAAGTGTGGTTTATCTTTTCTTCCATTTTTTAATCTCTTAGTGACTTTCTTGTGGTCTCATACTTTTTTGATCGTTTTGTCAGCATATTGTTTTGCTGAGTCAAATACTTCAGCTTTTTGTCTTTTGTTGCTCAGAGGTTAATAGTGCTACTTGAGTTTAGGCAAGTGAAATTTCTTATGTACTGTTAGAGAAGGCTAGAGATTTTCTGTTTTTCCCTACTGCTGAAAATAGCACTAAGATGTATGTGGTTCTGTGATAAAACACTGTAGTTCTCAGTGAGAACATGATTCTGCTGGATGAACCCGTTCTTTCTCATCCATTTCTTTGCACCATATTGGTGCTCCAACCCTGACTGCTTGACATAAAGTCCGATTCAACCTCAAACTTTCCTCTACTGGACCCTTGAGGGTTTAGGCATTTGCATTGATCCAGTGGACTGTAACAAATGTGTTTGAACTTTTTTTTTTAAGTTGGATTATAATAATTTACATCAGAGTTACCAAATGGATTCCACCTTGACCATCATGATCTAAATGTGGCGTTCAACAGTGTTTGGATTTAGGTAAATGGGCTAATAAGATTGTAAACACAGTAGTGTGTGTGTGGTGTTGTTGTTGTTGTGATGTGAATGGGTGAGACAGACCAAGAAAGTTTTTAAAGATGTTTGAGAAGATACTGAGCTCCATACTTACCCTCTTCCCTGTTTAAGTTAGGCCTAGCTTTCATACTGTTGTAACAATTACATGCCTTAAAAGCTAAATGTGTGGGTGTTCTTTTTTTTCCATCCACACATTTATATATTGCAATAAGAGGTTAAAGGTCATCTTATGAATAGTCTTTCAGTGTCTGTTAGCCAAATCCAAATGGTCTGTGAAGTAAATAGTATGACTCTACTCTTGTGAATGGGCCTATTGAAAAATTAAAAATAGATATGATTAAATGATTTTAATCAAGTAAAAACCTGATCATGGCTGTGTGTCTAACAATTTTTGAAAGATAAATCATTTATAATGGAATAGTTCACCCAAAAAATTATATTTGTCAATTTGCTCATCATCACGTATGATTTGTGAGAAACAAAAGGAGACATTTTGAATAATTTTTCTGCTCACTCTTTTCCATGCAATGAATGGGGACTGAAGATTCAAACTTTTATAAAATACCATAAAAATGGGCCATATGATACTTATCTCACAAGGGAAATAGTGATGCTCGATTTGTGAGCGATTCGTTCTGTTGAGTCGGATCTTTTTAATGAATCAGTTCATACTGTTCACAAGACAAGTTTGAATGATTTACTCAAGAATTGAGCTGATCCGGTTCTAGAGTTCAACTCACTGATTCAATGAGCCAGTCGCAGCCATAAAACGTTAATTGAATAACGACCACGTATGGACTTTTATCACACTATATGGCGTTTTTATGAAGCTTTTGACACTTGAATTTCCAAATTTGTGTTCCACGGATGGGTAAATTAGACTATTCATTTTGGTGGGATCTAGTTTCTATTCATTAATAAAATGTGTTTATGTAAGCTATTTCTAATATATATATATATATATATATATATATATATATATATATATATATTAGAAGCTTATATAAAAATAAAAATAGCTTATATATATTAGAAAAGGAAGAATCAGGAAAAGTAAACCTAGATTGATATGCCGAACTTTTCCTGGTGGGCCGATCGCGGAACGCTAGCTGTTATTAAAGCCCTAGTATATTTAGTTTTTCTACATGTAGCGGTCGGCAGGCGCTTGACACAAGCACACTAGAAAGATTCGCGCACTAGAGGTCTAGTGAGAAATTTATTATTTTAAAAATGGTATGTCCAAAGAAGCGGCGGAATCTGGCCTATAAAGAGGGCGACCTCTTATATATATATATATATATATATATATATATATATATATATATATATAAAGGGTGCGCTTTGTGAACAAACCAGAGGGGGGGATGTTTTGAAAAAAAACAAAAACAAAATTTTCTCTTGAAAATAGGCTATATCACAAATCACAGTGGAGCTATAAATACATAGATTATTTTTTGGCAGCTGTTATAGAAACATTTTTACAATAAATATTCTGATTTGACCTTGAGATTAGATAGCTTCGATATTTGACCACTATTTATGATGACACTAATAGTTCTTATTTCTGCCAGCAAAATCAATCGGGAGTTAATTATATTTTGAATAGAATAATGAAACACAATCCTGTATGTATTCAATCGCATTTGCTTCCACCTAATTTTGATCAGTGCTTCACACAACATACAAACTTTTACTCCAAAAGTGTGCACATTGTGTATTCACACGTTTACCTCATATTTCTTTAAATAGAATAGAACCATAATTTCTTAATAACTCGCAGAAATACGATTCTCTGCCGATCCATCAGTCAATATTGCATGATCATAATTCCCACAATACCATGACTGTAAACTTCTGCGTTCAGTCTCATAATACATTTATGCGTCAGTTTGATATATACAATATCTGCATTAGGTCACAGTAGAGTGAGTTTTGAGCTAAAACATTATGTATTAATCTCATACTGTCACTCTGAAATATACTAATAGCGTGCGCTGACCTTCTGAAAAGCCCTGCATGGATTAAAGGGGTCATATGGTGCTGCTAAAAAGAACATTATTTTGTGTATTTGGTGTAATGAAATGTGTTTATGCGGTTTAAGGTAAAAAAACACATTATTTTCCACATACTGTACATTATTGTTTCTCCTCTATGCCTCACCTTTCTGAAACACGTCGATTTTTGAAAAAGCGAGGTGTGCTCTGATTGGCCAGCTATCCAGTGCATTGTGATTGGCCGAATTCCTTAAGCGTGTGACGGAAATGTAACGTCCCTTACCATATTGTGATGCCTGCGGCAACCACATGTGACGACCCTGGGCTGGACTCCGC